AATAAGCCCAGTCGCCGGCTACAAAGCCCAGTTTGCCAACAGGATAGAGTGTCACGCTAACTCCTTACGCCGACCGGTTTATAGCTCTCTACTACAGTAGTCGCCGGCTATTAAGCCCACGGTTAATAAGCCCGCCGCTTATTAAGACCAATTTGGTCTGGGCCCGAGGTGGGCTTAATAGCTGGCGACTACTGTACTACACTTTTTTCGTTTTAATTCTAATACAACAATGCGCAGATGAAGAAAGCCCACTCCTAGGGTACTCCTCAGTTTCGAGTCTCACGTCTGCTTGGTAGAGCGATTGTGACCTTTTTTCGATTACAACAATTTATTCATCTTCCCAACTCAAGAATGGACCGATTCCTCAGGCCAGGATGTGATGTGATGTGGATCCAAATGCTCCAGACGCCTCCAACCAATGCAATCGCTGGTTTCGGACGTTATGAGCTAGACCAGGGGTTTTAAACCGAACGAATTGCGTGTTCTGAAGAAAAATATCTCTCCGACTGTTTGCGAATGTACCAGTTACGAAACGGGTCTTCGCTTGCCATCTTCTAGCGACAAGAGTGTGGACAAATCCTTGGACAATTTACCCAGAAGCTTAAATTTCTAGCTTAAGACTACGATTTCAAAGTGTTTACGGCAGAACAACACCGCGATAACGCTATCAGTGGCCCCTCATCAAATAAGATTCGACAGAGACTGTTGCAGCAGAAGACTTTGAATTTTCCAGGTGCATTTGATCAAACGAGGCCCTCAGAATTGGCCGAAAACCAGCATTTATCTTATCAGAACCCTCCCACTGACAGAAAAAGTCGAAGCGTAGCACGGGTTCTGCTGCACAGCTGGTTGTTGGAAGCGTCAGCTAGTCCGCTAACCCAGGCCTTCACGGAGGAAAAAATGTTTAAACAGACAAGACTAAGCCCCACAAAAAATGTGAAACAAAAAGGGTGTTCAGCTCACCAACTTGTTCCGCACTAATTGGAGATGACGACTGCGTGCCGAACTGGAGAGGACAACGAAGAGACATCGCCACTGGGCCAGCTCTTTCAGTCGACCAAGCTGGTAGCCCACAAGGTTTACGGACACGAAACACAGCAAATTGACAGCAAACTATAGGGGAAGTAAAGGAAGGGAGGAAGGTGAACAAACGATTGAAGATGGAGCAGAGCCCGAGGATTGCGGGCAAAGGTTGGTAGGAATAAGTATAGGTGTGGAAAGGGCAGGTAGTCAGAAGAGAGGGAGAGATGTTACTATCATTTGGGCAGTCTAAAAACAGAAACAGCAACCAAATTTGCAATGAAATATTTACTGTTTTGTGCGAGAAATAAACACAGTACTAAATCATGCAAAGGTCTTCTTCAAAAAGTTCTCAATATCTTTTGATGTGTTTGGAGACTTGGCAACTGGGATACGTGCATATCCACACGAAGTGTTACTAGAAATGTTGATAAATAACTGCAATAAACGCAGGTAAAAGCTGGGCAGGTTCGCTTCCCTTCTTAGACGACCTCCTAAGTCAAAAAGTTTACCGTAGCGTCTGAAGGAGTGTTTATTGAAAAAAACTCCTGGTCTGGACAATACACGAACTTGGGCAGTTTTGCACCCATCCGCTGCTTGCTCGACAGACAGTATTAAGTAGGAGCTTAAGAAAATCTAGGAACTTGTACTTGTACTTGTTGTACTTGTTACGGCTGTGATCATGCCTGATCTAG